CTGCCCCCTCTCCTTTCTCCCTGGCTCACTCTTTCCCAGCTTTTCTGCTGGGATGTGGTTTCTGGAACACACCAAGCAAGCTTCAGCCTCGGGGGCTTTGCCCACAGCCTGTGCTTGGATGTCCTTCCTCATTACCCAAGTCTGGCTTCCTGACTTCATGCAGAGGCCACCTCCTCAGGAGGGCCTCCTTGATTGACTCACCCAAGCAAGTACTCCCTTACCTTCTGCCCCTTTACCCTGCTTTATTTGTCTTCATATTTATCACTCCCTCCCATCATTAATATATTTATAATAATAACTATAATTGATCGGATGTTTACTATGTGCTGAACACTATTCTAAACATCCAAGAATTAATTCATATTCCCCCAAACTCCTTGAAGATAACATTATTTTTGTTTACTGAAGTATAGTTGATTTACAATATTGTGTTAGTTTCAGATGTACAGCAAAGTGGTTTTATATATGTCTATATCTATATTCTTTTTAAAATTCTTTTCCATCACAGTTTATTCCAAGACATTGAATGTAGTTCCCTGTGCTATACCCATACATTCTTGTTGTTTATCTATTTTACATATGGTCGTGTGCGTCTGTTAATCCTGTACTTCCAATTTATCTTGCCCTGCTCCCACTACCTTCCCCTTTGGTAACGATAGGTTTGTTTTTTTGTCTGTGAGTCTGTTTCTGTTTTGTAAATAAGCTCATTTGTAATATTTTTTTAGATTCCACATATAGGTGGTATCATATAAAATTTGTCTTTCTCTGACTTACTTCTTTAGTAGGTAATATCTAGGTGTACCCACATTGCTGCAAGTGGCACTGTATCATTCTTTTTATGGTTGCGTGACATTCCGTGGTACCTCTGTACTGTCTCTTCTTTATCCATTCACCTGCTGATGGACACTTAGGTTGCTTTCATGTCTTGGCTATTGTAAATGGTGGAGGATGGCATTATTATTAACTACATTTTATAGATCAGTAATCTGAGAGTCAGAGAGTTTAAGACCAGTTGGGAGACCTTGAAAGTTTGCTCAAAGTCTCCCAACCGGTGAGTGTCAGAGAAGGTTCAATCCCTGGGGCTTCCGTTATTGACCATAATATTCTTGACCAGCACTGCCCAAAAGAGCTCTGCAATGATGAGATTAGTCTGTGTTCAAAATGGTAGCCACTGGCCGCATGTGACTGTTGAGTGCTTGAAATGTCTGTGGCCAAGGAATGGAAAATTTTATTTTATTTTATTTCATTTTATTTTAATTACTTTTAATGTAAGTAACCACTTGTAGCTAGTGGGTACTGCATTGGACAGTAGAAACCTGGGGTCTCTTATTTGTTCCTATGTTGATATTTGTCTCCCACATAGGGAGGGAGTTTTTCTGTGCTTCAGTTTCTTTATCTTATGGTGAGGGAAATACCTTATAAGGCTGTTGTGAGGATGAAAAAAATATATATATGTATGTATATATGGCTTAGAACATAGACTGGCACAAAATAAATACACAATGCTTGTTCATCATCTCCATCATCATCATCACCA